GATTCTGTCTCCTATTTGTTACTATCTGACATTGTTCCATAGATTTTAGATGCTCTGGCCTATCATTTCCTCTCAATTTATATTTTTTCCCTCTATCTTGAAGTTCAGCTAGAATTTTTTTCTGGTCTATGTTCAAATTCAGTGATTCTTTCCTCTGCTAATTCCAATGAGCTATTAAGTCTTTCAAATGAAGATTTTATTTCTGATAGGTTTTTATATATGGCAATTCCACTTGACTCATATTTTGTTGTTTCTGTATCTTTGCTGAAACTCTCCAATCTCTTCATCCATATTGTCTACCTTTACTTCTGAATTCTTTAGCATTTTTATCATCATCATGATTTTATCATAATTATTTTAAAGTCTTGTGATGTATCCAACATCTGGGCCTTCTCTTGATTTACTTCTAATGACTGCTTTCTGGCTTCATGAGTTATACTTTCTTTCTTCTTTGCATGTCTTGTGATTTTTAATTGTAAACATTATAGACATTTTGGGTAAAATAAGGGTAGAAATTAAAGTTAAATAATATTTATTTCTAGACCAGAAAAATAATCGATATGTCAGGCTACTAGATTTGGGAGCTGTATCAGTATGATCTATACCTGAATTGCAACTGGATATTGTTGTAGCTTTAATTTAGTTTAAAGTGAGTTTTAGTTTAGTTTAATTTAGTTTAAGAGCAAGATGAAGATTTTTTTCTTTTGAGAGGCTTGGGCACTGATGAGATTTGCAAGATATTATTTTATAGCTAGCCGCTGACATTCAAAACTCTCTGGTTTATAACTCAGGGGTCAGTTTCCTGTGTTACCAGTAAATTTTTTTTGCTTACTGGATCTGACTCAGATTTTCTGTATCCTGGAAGATATCTACGTACACTGCCTTGGAACGCTTTATCTCAACTTTCTTGACTCATTCCCATACCTCAGTAACCGTTAAGCAGAGTACCTGGAATTGATTTTCACAGACCTTTTGCCCATGGCCCCCTACATTTAGTTGCTAGTTACCTTGTATTTGGGGATGTCCTGTATGATTCAGGAATGAGTCTCAATTCTCCTTTGTTCCTGAACTTTGGCTTATTGTCTCTGAGTACTAAGTAAAGAACCATGAGAAAGAGTATGGTAGATAGGTGGTAGATGTGTTTTGTAGCTTTTCAGAATTTTTAATCTGTTTTACTAGTCCACAAGAGGCCAGTGCATTTTGGGTGAAGTTTTGCTGGTTTCTCCCTCTCCCTGTCTATTCCTTCTTCTCCTCCTACCACTCTTCCAAAGATAAGAGCTGCCATGGGTGTCTTCTCTCCTTGTTACTTTCCGGACCTGAGTTCACTTAGGTCTCTTTGAATCCTCAGTTCTCTGGTGAGTTTAGTCTTTCTAAATTCTAAATTGTTTTGGTTGTCAGGGTAAGAGTGATGACCCCTTGAGACTTTCCACATTTCTGCTTTGCAAATTTGTTCAAATAATCACTACTCTTGGAAGATGCTATGCTTTTTAAATTGTTGTAGCCTTTAAACACACAAAAGTACAATTTCCATTTAGTTGTACTGCATATAAAATTATTTATTTATTTTCTAAGACTGCAGTTTTATAATCTTTAATAAAGTATTGCTGTATATTTGAAGTCTCAAGCACACAAGAGTTATTTTCACTCAAATACTAGTTGGTTATACCATGATCACATAACAACTAAAACAAAAGCAGATTTCTAATTCTTTTGTAAATGATCAGTCATTCCTTTTTCTATCCTGGATTCAGTCTATCCTTGGACTATAAAGGATCTTCCAAAGGACAGGATGCAGGAATATGTTTATACAGCTAAGTATGTACAGGGGAGGGTCAGATAGTGAGAAAGTTTGATCTGAAAAAAGCATTAAAAATGTAATTTACATTTCTGGGGTACTTTTCCTGTCAGTTTCCAGCCATGTTTATCTTCATTCTGAGAAGTACCTTCTGATTTTCTTTATATTTTGTGGTTGAAAAGGCTTCTATTGATTCATATTGAAGAATTGATTTAAAATAATTAGCAATACTGGATAGCACTGTTGAGACTCAGGATATAAGGCTCGTCTCTATATCTCAAATCCTAAAGTTTCAAAAAGTGTCAAGCTATACTTTAAAAATAAAATAGCACTGCATAATTGAGTGGTTGAGGTAAATCCTCCCTGTATCATTTATTACATATTATTAGCTACTCTGGGCAAATTCACCTCTAAATTTTAGTTTTCTCATTGGAAAAATGATAAGAATGATACTCCTAGGAGTCTATCACAAGCAATGTAAAATATTTCATTGGAACACCATTTCCCAATTTAGACAGCAGTAGGTTCCTACAAATAAAGTAAATAAAGTATTATTGAATATGAAGTCACAACGCAAAATTTAGAACATGAGATAACAATTCACCATAAGGCACCACAAAATATCACATATTAGACACCTATGAATTCCAGAAAATAGATTATATATAGAAAATAAAACAACTATGTTTAACAGAAACATCTTAAAGCATATAAGTACTTGTAAGTAAGTAATCAAGATTTCATCAAAATCAAGGCAGACTTTAAAAAGAACAAAGAACATCTTTAAAAAAGTCAATGATACTTTAAAACTAAAATCTTAGTTTAGATTTAAAGAGCAGACTACGGCAACCCCTTCAGGTTATCTCCCACTGTGGGAGCTTTCCTGTTCTCTCAATAAATCCTGCTTTCTAAAAATAAATAAATAAATAGATAAAATAAAGAGCAGACTAGATACAGATCGAGAAAATTTAAGCTGCTACAGTCCCAGTCACTTGAGAGGCTGAGCAAGGAGGATCATTTGAGCCCAGGAGTTTGAAGCTACATGGTGCGCTGTACAGTGCTTATGAATAGCTACTGCACTCTGGCCTAGGCAAAATAGTGAGGCCCTGTCTTAAAAAAGAAAATCTAAAAACTAGAAAATAGACTTAAATAAAAGAAATGAAGCACAAGGAGACAGAAATGATAAACATAAAATTGGGGTTCAAAGACGTGAAGAACACAATAACAACATCTAATTACAGGAGTTCAAGAAGGATAGAATACACATGACATGGCAAAGTAAGAACCTGAAAAGACAATGGCTAAGAAGTTTTCAAAACTGATAAAAGACATGACTCCTCTGATTCAGTAAGTATAATGAATTCTAAGCAGAATACATAAAATGCTAGACATAGACACAGTTTCACATTTTAGTGAAATTGAAACACACCAAAGATAAAGAGATCTTAAAAGCAACCAGTGCAAAAAACAAATCACCTACAAGTAATAATACAGAGAAGACCTTTTTTACTAAACACCAACAAATGAGCTAGACAGCATAAACCAGGATTTTCTTTTTTTTTTTCTTTTTTTTTTTTTTGCGGGGGTTGGAGTCTCACTCGGTCACCCAGACTGGAGTGCAGTGGCCGCTCCTGGCCACCGCAGCCTTGCCTGCTTGGCTCCGGCGATCCTTCTGCCTCAGCCTTCCGAGTAGCTGGAATTACAGGCGTGCTAACACGCCCGGCTGATTTTTTTAATTTTTATTGTAGAGATGAGGTTTCGCTGCCAGGCGGGTCTCGAACCCGCAGGCTCAGGCAATCCACTTACCTCAGCCTCCCAAAGGTGCGGGATTATAGGCTGAGCCACTGAGCCCGGCTTGAACCAGGATTTTCTAAGTATTAAGAGACAATTGCTGTCAACCTATAATTCCAAATTTAACTGAATTTACAAGTGAAGTAAAATAAAGATATTTTCCGACAAAGTCTAGGCTATCTACCATTAAGAAATCATGTTGAAACAATAAACCAAGGGCTCTCACCAAGGGGCATTTAGATATTTATGTAACATTTTTGCTTCTTACAATTAATAAGTAGTTCATGAGCATGTAAAGGATGGAAGCTAGAAAAGCTAAATTTTCTACAGTGAACAAAACAGCATTTTTCAATAAACAACTGTTCAATCCAAATGTTAGTAGTGTTCTACTGAGAAACATAGAGGAAAAAGGAGAAACATAAGAAGGGATATACAAACAAAAAAATGGTATACTGTTGGGTTAACTATTAAAAAACAAAAATAAAAATGACTAAGTTAGCCGGACTCAGTGGCTCAGCCTGTAATCCCGTGCCTTTGGGAGGCTGAGGTGAGTGGATTGCCTGAGCCCGCAGGTTCGAGACCCATCTG